ACTATCGACCTGTTTCTACATTACCGATATTTGGAAAAATACTTGAAAAAATAATCTATAATAGGTTATATAATTACCTCAGTGCTATGAACGTGATTTATGATCGACAATTTGGTTTTAGAAAACAACACTCAACATCTCATGCCGTAAACTATTCTGTCAATAAAATACTTAATGAGATTGAACAGAAAAATCATGTAATTGGAATATTTATTGATCTAAGTAAAGCATTTGACACAATTGAGCACGATAAACTCTTGCATAAACTTGAACACTATGGAGTAAGAGGTATTGCACTGAAAACTCTTGCTAGCTATCTAACAAACCGTAGCCAAGTAACTTCTTTTCAAACTGAAAAGTCGGACAAGTGTTCAGTTGAGTATGGTGTACCCCAGGGGTCAGTGTTAGGACCTCTACTATTTCTGATTTATATAAATGATATTGTGAGCTCCTCAAGCTTGGCTGAATTCGTCCTGTTTGCTGATGATACAAATATTTTTGTGATAGGTAGTTCAGCACAGGAAGCTTTTGAAAAAGCTAATCATGTAATGAAACAAGTCAGTAACTATATGGAGTCTAACAAGTTACATATAAATGCAGGGAAAAGTTGTTATATGCATTTTCAGCCAGGTTTGTCAAGAGCAACACAGACCTGTGCCAGAACACGGCCCTTTAACAGGAATCTAACGATTTTAATAGATGGCAAAAAGCTAGAAAAAGTTCAATGTACAAAGTTTCTTGGGGTGATAATAGACGAACAGCTAAGCTGGGAACCACATCTTAATCATTTATCTTTAAAGCTGAACTCCAGTATTGTATCGATTAAGAGAATTTGCAAATTCATTCCCAAATCTGAATATTTGAAACTGTACAATGCTCTTTTTATGTCACATCTTAGCTATTGTATAAGTTGCTGGGGTGGGATCCCTAAACATAAGCTGAATAAAATCTTTGCAATTCAAAAACGATGTATAAGACTGCTATTTGGTAACATTCCCAATTTTGATCATAAAGAATACTATTTAACCTGTGCACGTTCAAGAACTTATAACGAACATATGGCTAGCAAGAACTACTGTCTTGAACACACTAAACCGCTATTCACCGAGCAGAAAATTATGAACCTGGAGAATCTGCACATGTACCATACATTTATGGAATTATTCAAAATTCTTAAATTTGATGTCCCCCAGTCGATTAAAGATCTTTTCAAGTTCTGTCCTAGAAATGAAAAACTTCGTCTGATTGTCCCATTACTGAGGTTAGATATCTCCCAACAAAACTTTTTGTACACCTCTACGAAAATTTGGAATGACCTCAGCCCCTATGTATTCGAAATATGTGATGCTAATGTAGATGGGTTGATAATCCCGGGTTCTTCCAAGAATTCAGACTTATCAGCTTCGTCAGGTGTTATTAAATCTAACCTTAAAAAGCACTTGCTATCCCTCCAAAATCGAGATGACCCTAATACATGGTAACTAATCTATATTATATCTCAAACTCTACATCCGGTACGGATATGCACACATGATATCTCTCTCTGCCATGAAACATGGCTAACCTTTTAAACTGTGATTCAAAACCTAAAGCTAAACTAAAACTCAACTGGGCTCTCCTTTGTCACCAAACTAAACCAATAAGTAATTTAAGATTATTATATTTTTCTATATTTGTATACTGTAATTAGTATATTGACGTAGTGGATGGTTGAGGGGGTTTCAAGCACAGGTCACTCTCAAATCCTAAAGATAAGCAGTGGCCTTCGGCACTTGAAACCTCTTCAAACCTCCCCTGATTTATTTATTATTGATATTGTTTGATTGTGCCGTAAAAATAAATATTTGTTTTATTAAATATTTGTTTTATTAAATATTCTGGGATCGTTTGTGACCGGGACTGAACACTAATTCAAATTGACGTAAAAATATTACAGTAGGTTAGTAGATGATATCGGTAAATCCCGGTGTCGTAAATAATTTGTATTTCTATCGATAAATGATTAGAGGTTTTGTTAAACATTAAAGAGGTTACAACAGTCAGATAAGTCGTCAGTCAACAGGTTCGGTCAATTTCCAGGTGCCTTTTAAAGTCCGATTATATTTGAACGATTAACAAATTATTATAAAGATATGTTACACTACATTAGAACCCTGACAACTTCCAACTTCACAAGGCTGATTGCGAAACAGTTCGAACGTAAACACTTAAACAGTAAAACTAACTGTCTACTAATCAAGCCTTCGATAGAGTAGTGAAGTAGATACGAAGAAAGGGCAAGTCGATAAAAACCGTCTTCGAGGTCCCCATAACAAGCTGAGAGGACCCCTAAACAAGCTGAGAGGATCCCTAAACAAGCTGAGAGGACCCCTAAACAAGCTGAGAGGACCCCTAAACAAGCTGAGAGGACTCCTAAACAAACTGAGAGGATCCCTAAACAAGCTGAGAGGACCCCTAAACAAGCTGAGAGGACCCCTAAACAAGCTGAGAGGATCCCTAAACAAGCTGAGAGGATCCCTAAACAAGCTGAGAGGACCCCTAAACAAGCTGAGAGGACCCCTAAACAAGCTGAGAGGATCCCTAAACACAACTTGTCAAACACAGCAAGCACATCTCAGAGCAAGGCCCACCACACTGCAACACACCTATCCGCACATCATGATAGCCACTGCGCTATTGTATTAATGTGGTGGTCGACTATCTGATGCTCTAGCTGATCTTATAGCATGTACAGCAAATCAGAGGGCCAATGAAAGAGGGGCTGTGGGGCACGTGACTGGAGTACTACACGGCTACAAGCGAAACAGTGTGTCAACTATTCATATCATCATAATCATATAATCATGTTATATCTTCTTAAAATAGTATTATATCTTTAAAGATTATAATGCCGATCAGTTGCTTGCTCGATATAAGGTTTGGTGATTTGTTTCCCCACAAATGTTAACTTGTAGATCTTTACTTGCTTATACATTGGACAGTTAGCGGGAGCAAACGTGAAATGTAGCCGAAATTAACTGTCAAGCAAACGTTAAGAATGTCTGCTCAAGGAATCTTCTCGACGACAAGGATTGGCAGAGTTACAAAACGCGATAGGTAAATTTCCAAACCAAGTAAATGATCGTTAGCTATCTCAGAGTTTAACCCTGGAAATAGTAAGCTCGACATTTTGTCGTACAAGAAACAAGTTTTCTCACACGTTACATAACAGGAGATCATTATGTGGAGCAGGGTGAAAGCTAGACTACTGTACAATTCCCGTCAGCAATAACGAAAAGCTGACGTGCTAGAGCAATTAGTCGAGATCAAATTAATTAACTTACATCTGTTGCGTACACTCCCCGAGCGATATAAATGTACTGCAGCGATCAGGAATTGGAAATTTAACGAATTTCCTAGCATTACCGGGTGATTTCAGCCAAGCAGCTCTATTGTGTTTGCGCAGTAAATACAGTGGTTTCCACCCAGGCACAGCTGTTGTACCAGTGGTATAAGGTATCCTGCCCAGACCGGGACACCACATATTTCATTAATTAAATAACTAAAGGTTCAATTAATTAACCGAGCTGAAAGTGAGTTAGCAGAGATCTGTAGCAAGCTAACCTTTAACAGAAAGGAGATCATCACAGAAAGGTGTTGAAAATGTTTTGAAGAGCCGAGCAAGCTGTTCGACGATGTTTAAAATTTAAAAGGTCCTGAGTTCATGGTAATTTACAGGAGAAAATTGCTTTTTAATTGTCTTTCGTCTCTAACCTGTTCCTTGTTCTGTGATTTAGTTGAGAATATTTGTCGTTTCATGTCAGTATACTCGTCAGTCAAACTTGAAACCTTCAATACGTGTCAATAAAGGCAGCAATAACCAACTCAGAGCGTTGCAACTTAACCGATATGGGTTACAAAGCTTCTTTTACGTGATCCCTACATTTCTCAGCGTTCTAATAATCTCAGCTTGGCATCATTAGTCTCTCTCATCATTCTTCTCTAATGAGAGTCAGTTTTACAGTGAGAGACAGCGAGGCTTTTTTTACAAGTTTAAAACTAGAAACAAGACAAAACGGCACTATTTGAAACTGTAAACGGCCGACATATTCTCACGAGACCCGAAAGGCGTAAGCACAGCAAATACGGTGGGCAACGAAGCAAAGCGAAAAGGCGGCAGGAGATGTGAAAAAATCGTCATTACTCACTGTAAGGCATGAACGGGGCTATTAAGAAGTTATTACAATGAACAGGACAATTAAGATGTGATTACGATAATTGACCAGTAAGCGACAGTTCACACGTACTCAATGTTTGACGCAATGTTTGACAGACCAGTCATTACTGATGAGATGCTCAGTGGCAAGCAAGGTGCTAGACGTACTTCCGGGTTATAATTAGTTGTTTTAATTATTATTGTAATTACACTACAAGACTCAATCATCTGTGTTTGGATTGTGTGTCAGCTGTTGCAGACGGCCCGCAAAACAAACAAGTGATCTCTTTATTGCCTTGTATTTCATATGTGCCACCCAAAATGACTCACCATCGATAATTAATAATTATCAACGAGAAATATCACAAATAGTAACAAGTATACGCGACTATAAAATAGCGCTAGCGCGGCATAATAGACAGAATAATCAGCAGATCGATTGTTAGATAACACCACTGTTAGTCTGTTACATTTCGTGTTATCTTTATATATTGAGTAGGATGGCGGCAGATCTTAGATAAGAAATGCAGTTACATTTAATTGTGATTGTAAGGGTACAAATTTACTTGCGATTTCCAGCATTAGTAGCTGCAGTTAGTACATTGATTGGTACAAAACTGATTTCCTTCAGTTTTCCATGCGTAAAAACAGATGGTACTATCTTCATATAATATTAATATATCATCATTAATATCCTCAGTAGGGTTCAATAGCAACACTTTCAATATCCCTTGTCCGACTCTGCAATATCTGTATATTTTTATCTTCCTATTGAATAAATTAATAAAATTAATCGTTGTTTTACCTTGGCTTTAGTCATCATCCTCTTTGACAATTCCCTCGGATTGTGATCGTACTTCGAGTAGTATTTGAACTGAAATTGCCGCTTGTTATTTCAAAAGAATGCCACTTACATTCTTCAGGACAATTTATCCTTGATCTGTTGAGATAATTCAAAACAAATTTAATTTACTCACACCTGAATCTAATAAAAATTGCTCTAGGAGGTTACATTTTTCTCCACCCCAGACAAAGATAATGATCGGATCAAATACTCAGTAATAATGCGAATAATGCGACAATATCTAATATTAGCAGCACAGACAGCATTTCCTACGATAACACACAATGTCTCTTACACAATTGCACGTCTGAAGTCTTTGCATTGTTTCTAAAAATGAGAGTTTCCGTCAAGTTTCAATCGCAATGACAATTGTTTCCACATCGGGGAGTGTGTGGCGGAGTGTGTGGAAATTAACACAGATTACGATGTAGACAATCTAAAATAAGAGTGAGCTAAATTTACTGACAATTTGGGATGATCCTGGCATGAGGTTGCAACAAGTGGAATTCTTCAAATTCTTTATGTTTGAATGCAACAAAAAAAAGCAAAAGCAAGATAAAAGGATTCGACCTAAAAAGTAATGCATGTTAAAATTGTCAAATATGTCAAAATAAGAATACAAATACAAGTTAAAACTAACAACTAGAGCACATACTTTGCGTAGTAAGAGGATGTAACCAGACATGCTGGAATGATAAGCATTTTGACAATAAATACACCTCCAAGTGTTAAAACAAAATATCATCAAATGACGATCTTATAACGATCTTAAACGCGTCACAGTGCTGATTTTTAAGGAGAGCAATTAGTCATCAGTTAAGAAGTAGAGGCAATTTAGTAACAAGCAAACAGAAATCACTAACAAGATAAGACCTAAAGAAGAAGACACTGTGAAGGTGAATAGGTATTAGAGGGACAGCAAACTGGACAACCGGATAAAACTGTACACCAGAGGTCATGCACCAAAAATACAGCCAGGCTCCACATCAGCTCAAATCATTGTAGCACGTGACAATTTGAGAGATGAGTGCTTTGTCTGGTGACGATTAATGACGCATTTCAAAGTACCTCTGAGTCTCGCACCACCAGGTAATCATGACGATTACCTATTTTTAACACAACCTCCACAGTCAACCATAAGGATCTTATGTTTTTAATGTTTAAAATTTAATGTTTATAGACGGTAGGGATGGTCTCAAATTACAAAACCGGCCATGAAATATATGTTAATATTAATTAAAATTAATAAACTGTGATAATTAAACAATCGTGATGTCAAATAAGGCACAAAGAGAACCGGCTCATTCCCAAGAGACAAATGTTAAATAAAATCACCGATAGAAACCAAGCTGTGGAACAATTTTATCAATGATATAACCTCACATGCAATTAAACAATATAATCTTAACATATATCAGATATAACATTATAATAATAATATGTACTCCCACATTAATACACCGAATATAATATATTCAATGGTGGTATATTTTTATATATCAACCACGCTCCAACGCCCTGGAAAGACTATTTTAAATTACTCATACATGTTGGTAAGTTTTTTTGCAATCACAAATTGCGATGCAGTCTCGCAGTTTCTGGCAAATGTGCAGAACGAAAATACAAAAAAGCAAGACAAAGAGAACTTTTAATCTAATAACTGTATCTACCAGCAATTTAAAACGAAACTAAATAATAATTTCAGCGGTAAGCACAATTTTGGCGGGAAAACAGTTACAAAGAAATAGTGTTACCGAGACATAGAGTCTGGCTGTAACATAACTTATTGCTGACAGAACGTCTAGCTGTAATAAGTTGTAACATAACTTACGAGAACGACAGGAGGAAGGCCGCTGAGCCTGTACTCTCGGATACATCTGTCTTCAGACATGTACTTTCCCAGACGTTTCTCCTTAGGTGGCAGGTACAACCCAAAGTTGAAACTCTCGTCCAGCTCCTGACAGGGAAACAAGGTGTCAGTTGTCACGTGTCATGTGTCACGTGTCATGTGTCACGTGTTAATGACATGTGTTATCGTGTCATTAACACGTGACACGTAACTGCTGGTCAGTTTAACTTGGTGGATAGTGTGATTATCACACTGTGTGATAGACAAAACCAGGTTCAAGTTGTAGTAGGGGCAATTAGTTAAAAATTTGTAATGAGGAACAATTAGTTGAAAACTTACACAATAAGGAACAATTAGTTCAAAACTTGTAATGAGGGGCAATAACTTTTTGATTAAAGTAATGGGAGTCTTTTGTCTTTTGATACTTTTTATTAGAGTAATATAGCCTGGTTATGGGCAACATGTGAAATTTATTTATTTCACTTACGGGGCATAATGATAGTACGATCTGATTTTTGATTTCCCATATCTTTGCGTTGATGTCGACCGTGATGACAGACTGAAAGTGGTAATTGATAACAAGATATCGCAATGTGTCATAAACTTGTTTTCATTAAATTTTGAATTCCTAAAAGAAACTTGATAATTGAATAGAGGAAGAGCCAATATTTGTAACAATGGTATGTGTATTGAAGCAGAGTAAGGTGACAATTAGACTGTTTCCTGTTGTGTGGGGACGCGTCAACTACCTTGACTTACAGGCTACACTTTTCTAGTCAATATTCTCAAATACATAATACAGTTAAAACTTAAAATAAAAGTTGATTCTTCAGTTTTTATAACTTGTATTACAATAAAGCAATGATAAAATTTGTGTAAATGTAGAAAGTTATGAAGATCGTTTGACAGCTAACCTCTAGTTTCTTCTCAGAGATCTTAACATGAAGCTGCAATTGATTCGCTTTGTCTTTTACTGCGGTTGAGTCTCTGTTCTGGAATGCTGTTGCTGCTCTAATTATGGAATTTGATCTATTTAGTGAAGATGACCTCCCCAAGGAATTTGAACTTACAGCTCGTTTCAATGAACTGAACCCATTTCCATACCGGTCATTAGAGTGTCTTTTGTAGCGACTATCTAATGTTGCATAAGCCATTCTGTCTTTCAGGTCATCTGCATAGTATTATCGTTTAAGAACAAGAGCATCTTTTTTATAGGTGTTACTATATGATATCATCAATGAGAAGGTTGTTCAAATTGAAATTTAAGACTAGATTTGTTCAATAGGCAAATAATAGTATGGTCCAGATAATGATAGACAATTCTGGATGCAAAACAAAAGGAACACTACATTGACCAGTATCAGGATATATAATCAATTGGGAAGGTCATTCTGTCATTTGTTTTTGTCACATGATAATAGAATCACTTATCTCATGCTTTTCAACTATTTTATGTGTAAGTGTAATCTTAATGGGATTAGACAGACTCCATTGTAAGTTAGCACATTTAGGAACTATGTAAAAAGATAAGAGGCTGTCATGGCACCCTTGGTAACTTGTACTCCATTGTATAGATCTATATTGTAAAGTACACTATATTCAATACAAATCACAAACGACTAAGAACCGAGTACCAGTCTAGGGATTTGGCTGCTTGACCTGAAACGGTATGTAGGATATCAATCTATATCCGAAAATTTTAAAATGTATGGTAAAAGTTTTGAAATTTCCGATTTCGTGAACCTCATGCCATTAAACCCTGTGTTTCTATGCTAAGGATTCATCATGCACCTTTTTTACTGGTACCATATCTCGAGACATGCTTTCAAGTATTGAGATCAGATTGTGAGGACCTGGAATGTTACCTGAGTACACCAAATCTTTAAATTTACGGTTGATATCCTGCCTAGCAGCTTCTAAACCAGAAAAGAACCGGATATAAAAGCCGGAATCAAATCAAGCCAAAAATAGCAATCAAGGCAGAGGTGGATGAAGATGCAAAACCTTAGTGTACCACAATCCACATGTTAAACATACAGCCCTAATAAAGCCAAAGCATCGAACATTTAACTACGAAAACCACTTTTGCTTATATATATAGTGAAGTTGCTTTTAAAAGCTTTTAAAAATATTAAGATAGGCTAATGCACTTACTCAAAGGAACAAATAGTTTCTTTTTGTGCTTTTGACTGCCCAAGTACAAATAAGATGAGAAGTAAGAAGTTAATTGCATAGTAACGCAAGTGGAAACACACAGGTGGACATGCAAAGATTTTACTATTTTATAGCTTCGTTTTGATTGGTTTTGTTGTTATTACGTTGTGTTTAGTGCAATCTACACATTAATGGGATGCATCTTCGGACGTGATGAATATTTTTTGATGCAATAAAAACTGACTATCAAAGAATTCTCCTGGTGACCAAAGGCTTTCTCATAACTTCATAAAGTTAATTTTAATAAATCAGACATTTCAAACAGCCCTAGTTCAAATTAATAAACTTCTTCTTTGATAAATATGGATGGAACCACAGATAATCATTATGATTACTCTCGTTTTCCATACGTTCACATTTCACTAAACGAATTACAGGGCGGCGCTTAGCCTGTCATTTCGCCGCAGCTTCAATCAAGTGTTTATTAACAATATTAGGGGTCCTCAGGTAATGAAAATACAATTTTCAATAGTCGCTGCTTACCTTACTTTACTTATCACTTAAATCGAGAGTATCAGTTGAACGTTTAGGATTAACCTTAGCTTACCTGGGGACACCAGGCTATTATGTTCATAAACATAAATAGAGATTCGGCGGAATGACAGGCTGAGTGCCGCCCAGTAAGATTAACCATATCTAAATGAAATTATTTTACTAGGCAGCTCTTAGCTCAGCCTGTCATTCCGCCATAGCTTCAGTTTATAAACAAAAAAGCCTAAACTCTATTACAGGCCAGGTAAATTATACGTTATACTTTGCTTAGCTTTAATTGTAGTTTTTGAATAGTATCTTCTTGGCGATGACAATAAGGTCACTCTCAAATCCTAAAGATAAGCAGTGGCCTTTGGCACTAGAAACCTCTTCAAGCCTCCCCTGATTTATTTATTATTGATATTGTTTGATTATGCCGTAAAAATAAATATTTGTTTTATTATATTTGTTTTATTAATACGATTTCAAAGTAAAGCAAGCTCTGGTCTATAGCATTTTCGGTGTATGCAAAAGCTTTCAGACCCACACATTCGATCCTTGCTTTGTTAGTTGCCTAGCATGTCCTTTCACAACCCAATTAATTAGCAAACAAAAAGTCATACACCAAATGAGCATTATTGGTTATATTTCCATTGTACTAAAATTAAATTTCTTGTTTCATTGAAAAATGGCCGAGCGTGCTTAATATAATCACTTTACACCCTTGATACATGCTTCGCGCGCGAAAAGTGGCATGCAACGTATGTCAATTACACCCGATCTTCGAGATTTGTCTATAAGTATAAGGGCCCGACAGTTGAAACCGACTAGAATCGATGTATTTTCGGACGCTGATTCCGAGTCACCCTACAGGACATAGGGTTAAAATGCTCCCCTGTATTGGTGAAAAACTGTCTCGATCACGTGATATGACCGTATAAGGCAGTTTATCTAATCTCTCGTTAGGGTTAATAAGGTTTCACTACATACTTTTGTTAGGGATGTGTATCATGTAGAGTTATTAATCATCATCCAAACATGTGTCTTGTTTCATTGATGCAATGATAATTCACTGTCAACTGTTCACGGGCGCGTCGAAGTGGCGACCTCCCCAAATTAATGCTTTTTACCTAGCTTTTTAGTTTATTGCTCGCTTTTTTAATACGCATGAACAATGAAGGTTGAAAAGAGCGCCGCGCGTACATGGCACAGAGATTGGCGTACCAGGTAAAAATGCTTTTATACAAAGTACAGTAAACATCGTCCATTTAGGTAAACAATGTTTGATCATGATGTTCATGTATGATGTAAATTTGAACAACTCTAAATTCGTACATCAATATTGTCAAATTCATGCATCTCAATAGTAATATTTAAGTAATATTTACAATTTACACAATACATGATGATTAATAAAAGTTGTCTCTTCACAATTGTATTTATATTACATAGTTGATTGATAACGTCAACCCTTCCAGATCGTTGCTTTGCAAATTAACAAAGCAATGATCTAGTCAGAATGATAGTCGATGCGAAGTAAGAATGAAAGTTTGCGCTGCGCGTCAAAGCGGCGACGTCCCCCAAATTATACTAACAATTAATATAGCCAAAATACTTCACCTACCCAAGAAACCTTACTATATATATATATATATATATACTGGCAGGGGCCAACTTCGAAAGTAAAAGAGCTAGAGACTTCCGGTTATTTGCAAAATGGTCGATTTGTTGTTTGTAACATTTCCCCCGGCCCCAGGGGGGAATTTTTGACCATTGTTAATGATTTGGCCCGCGGCGCGCGCTTGTCATACGTTGTATGACCCGCCGCGCACGAAGTGCGCGGCTCCCCCTGTATCGTCAGGACGATAAACCCCACCATAGTGAAACGACCGTGGGGGTCGCAACGTGATACAAGCGCGCGCTACTTCGTAGCATTTGCCATCGGGCCAACATTTCGAGAAGAAAGCGGCGCGCGCTACTTCGAAGAAATTTAGACGAGTAACATCCGTCAAGGAAATTTGTAGTAGAGGCTCTTACGGGCATTGTCTGCTCGATACGTTAGGGACCCCAGATACACCTTACTACACGTATTTTTGACCGTAGAATCGATTGAAAGTGGTTTCAAGATGATTGGACTGATTGTTCTGGGGTAAAATCGCAAAAAAACCGATTTTTGGGCCAAAAAACCATGTTTTTTGATATTTTGAGCAAGTTAATTTTGTTGGCATGTCGGCAAAACTTGCATAAAGATAGCTAAAAGACAGCCGCACAAGATTGTATAAAAATAAAACAAATCCCTCTATTTGTTCTGAGGTAAAAATCCAAAAAAGTGGTAAAAATTTTGACTTTTTTGCTTTAAGTTTGAATAATTTTTTGCAGTTGTATTAAATCAACCCAAAAATAGTCACATCGTGTTTGCCTAAATTTTTCCTTTCCGAGAAGTACCCACATCATATACTTTATCGAAGTTTGAATATTTTCACTCCGCAAGCGTTTTTGCCAAATTTTCGACGCGCACTACGCGCAAAAGCATTTAGTTGTTATCAATTGGCACCCGCGCGTTCATCATAAATTTCAAACAGCTATAACTCAGCGAGATTATGTCCGTTCTAGCTCATATTTTCACACTAAATAGAAAATAATGTGATCTTATTGCTGACAAAATATGAATATAATTACTCTATTTGCCTTAGAGTAATAGACTGTCAAAGTTTAAAACGCGCATTGGTATAGCACGTGACTAATAAGGCCAAATTTATACTTCTTAACATATTATCGATCCTTAGACATCATACTATTGTGTCCAATTAGCGGTTAGGTCTCTAAACTCGTAGCAGAAAACACGTCTTTTTGCCCGTAAGAGCCTCTACTATTGAGACATTGTAAATTTTTATGTTTGAGTTATTTCAAAATCTCCAGAAAAGTCTTATTTTGGGGCGATCAAAAGTTTACAACTTTAACTGTGCAGATTTTTGTCGTCTAATTGCCTAATTGTGTCACTGTCACGTGCCTGGCTGCTTGAAAATTGGAATGTGCCACGCGTGCAAATCACTTAATGTCGCGCGCAAGCTCAACCGTCTGTTTAAATTATACCTCCTATGATCTAGTAACAAGGCCAACAAGTTATAAGGTTTGCTGGGATCATAACGCATGAATGATGAAGAAGTACCCAATTACAAATTAGGGCTACTAGTACAAGCTAAACACAAGAATCTTTCATATAAAGATCATATGCCTTTTGCCATGCTGTTCAGTCGCAAGACAGCATGGCAAAAGATGAGCCTCACCGATGGCCCCACTTCTTGTCAAATTAGCTTTTAATTTTGAATTACGACCCAATCATGAAGTAAACAGTATAAGCTGTATAGTTTAACGGCAAATTTAACTGTAGAATTAAAATCATGAACATGAGTGCGAAAGTTTTTCCAATCTCCCCCAGTAAACAAGGTGTTGAGTTTCTACTATTCGAGATGTGAATGTCCGTTAAACTCCTTCCAGTTCTTGTATATTTAATACTTAACTTATTAGACGGATTCCATAATCAATAATGGGCGCAGGGCACCAATAAGTTGTGAGGTCTGGAGCCAAGGGATACGGAGTTATTTGACAGGATGAGGTAGGCATGACAGGAACACTTGGTAGGAGGGTTGTTCTTCCGGCATCGCCAAGCAGAGTCTGAGTAGATTGCTGTATCTTCAGGCTTCTTTCTGGAGTAGATGTACCCATCCGTGTCACGTCCACCAGCTGTTGAGATCCTCCCTGTCGTTTGAATACTACCAGGAGTGCGGTTGTATGTGAACAAATGCCGATATTATTATGACGTAAACGCGAGTTGTTAATCTATGCTTGCTCAAAGCTCATGTACGTACAATCTCTTGTTACTGGGCCGCGCTCAGCCTGTCATTCCGCCGAATCTCTATTTATGAACATAATAGCCTGAGGTCCCCGTAAAATCTCTTGCTGTTGCTACGCAACGACGCACTTAACTTTTGCTAAAATAACGCCATTATTCTGTCGCTAATTATTCCTCTCTTTCGACGCTAATTATAAAAATCTAAAGCCTAAATCAAAATTCTAAAAATGCTGTGTTCTATTCCTTTTCTTTTTTCTGCAACCTCGCTAAAAATCACCAGTTTTCAACTCTATTTGCAAGCTGAAATTGGTCATGCCAGAGGGTCATTTTTATGGTCACCGTTTCCAGGGAGATTTCGTCAAGTTTATAATATAGATACAAGAGAAAAAATAAGTTCACTAGCTTACGCTTCACGCTTTTATCTTTTTAGATACACGTACACGTTCAGAGATTTGATATGGACGATATACTGTCGGAGAAATTAGACACTGATAAATGGTTACGAGAATTTTGGTTAATTGTTTAAATGTTAAATACGGTGCGATTTCTTTTTCGAATCGTTAAAAAACAGTATAATTTTAATAATATGTATTGTTCAACAACCTTAAAAATGTATAAACTCCCTGTCAATAATTAAAATGATTTGGGTCCAGATTTCGTTCTTTAATGGCGATGGTCAAAATATTTAAAACTTAGATTTAGGATATGCATCTGCAGATCCTGACACAAGTTTTCTGTGTATATCTCTGAGTCACTAACTGAAATCAGCTCGGTCTTCTTTGAGATCATTTCTTGATCTAACTGCCTCTGTCTCGTACATCGGGTCGTTGACTACAGTGGCTTTGTATCTGAAATAATACTTAATAGTAACTAGCCTGTACTGGTTGGATGAGTTGTTAAGTTAAAATACTGGATATACAGGTGCAGATTTTCCATGACAACGTATCACAGAGTGTAGAACCAAACCGGTCATTTCCTTACAGGTTGCTCCTCATCATGAACATTTCACAATACACTGAGATCTATCTAACCCGTTTACCTAAGTCTTACCTCTTGCCTAGGAGTTCAACGTACACATTGGAACCTAGTTCAGTAAGACTGGTTGGGAGGTATGCCATGCAAATACTTGTATTGGCGCTGTAACTCCAGGCTCCAGATGTAGTGTTACCAACCACCTGTATTATTTCACTATTAGTTGACCAATTGGCAATTAGTTAACTAATTAGTTAACTAATTAGTTAACTAAATAACAGGGTCGACTACTATTTCATTTTATTAACAAATTGACCCTGAGAAGAAAACTGGGAAAAATATTTGTTCATCAATTATGATGCAATATGTTAAGCAACTATGCAACAGGTTTAAATTCTTGCATACCTGGTTGTCAAACCAAATAGTCTCGTTACCCTCCGGATCCAAATAACCATGAGTATCAACAGTCAACATCACTAATTTGCTCTTCAACTCGTTACCTAGCATTTCCTTACAAGCCTCTTGACCGATGAAAGGTGTTTTTTTGTTTGTTTTTATGAAGGACCCTAAACCGGCTTCGAAGGGGTTCTTATCCAGATTCATCTGAAATTGAAGAATACATTTTAAATGTTGGCAGTTTTTCAAATGTTCCTGAAATTGAACAATCTTATTGTCCTTATTCCGATTTAATCCGATGTGTATGTGACCATTAAAACCGAGAAAGATTTAATTTGCAAAAGTCACCTCGTCTCCCCAGTGCCTCAATCCTTTTTCAAGTCTTAAGGAGTTTGTTGCAAACCAACCATAATCTCCGATCTCAAATTCAGCTCCTGCTTCTAGAATTCTCTTGTAAAGGGCGCCTGTGTCGTTTCGATCATGATGAATTTCCCATCCTAACTCACCTGGAGTTTACAAAAATATTAGAATCTAAAGTATGCATTAATTAAATGTACATTTTACGAGGAATCATTCCTTGAGTTCTAACTTATCCTGAACTAAATATTGTTGGGTCACTTTGTTTAGGGTTAGACGGGGTTCCTGCTAGTCATTATAATTTACCAGTGTACGAAATCCTTGTTGCCTGAACATCATATCCGGCCAAACTCATTTCACGACATTCCAAAAACGGGAAATCTTCATGAGACATAGCACTGTCAGTAAGCTTGGTCATGACGTCACGGGAATATTTCCCAGTTACTGCTAGAACTCCCATTTGATCGGTCACGTTCTGCAGTGTAAACTCTGCATTCTCAGGCATATGATGCTTCAGCCACCTGTCACATGAATTTTTGTTTACTTATTCTGTTTAGACTGGTCATTTGGATCAACACTCATTGATTGAAGTATTAGACGCGTGTGAAAGTAGACATAATAGTGAGTGAAAAAAACGAATTTAGCGCACTTCCTAAATTGGTCTTGAAAATACGGCTAAACCAGATTGCCCAAAAACAATATCACCCCTATAAGTTATTGGGGTGATATTGTTTTTAGTAGTATAACTACCTGAGATCATGTAATTCACTGCCAGCACTTGTCACTAGATAATACCGCTCTTTTCCAAGTCTAGATATTGTTAGTTCAGCGTAAACTTTACCGTTAGGAGTAAGCATGTGAGACAGGTTAACTTGTTGTTCCTGTAAATATTCGTATCATCAGATGTTTGATAGAGAATGAACGTTGAATTCAATATTGACGGTGGCTGAATATTAGTGGGTTTTGAGTTGTGAACATTTGGCACAGTTTACACGAACATTAGCATTTGTTTTGTACCATTTACAGACCTTGGGTAGAGTATTAGCAACCATCGAGGAGAGGAACTTAGTTGCACCTGGACCTTCCAAAATGAACTTCCCGAAATAAGTGAGATCAGCTACACCAACTCCGTTGAGAAGGAGATCAACTTCTCTGCCTACGGCATCATGCCAATGTTTCCTCGTGTAACAGGCTGGTGTGGTCTTGAGTTCCCCTTGAGTTGCAAAGAAGCGCGCCTGTTCCCACCCAGCATTGAACCCAAACGCTGTAGTTAAAAGGTAATCTAGCATTATGTGTCGCTTGTTTTAAATGTTAAAGTGAACAAAAGACTAAAAAGACTGAACCTACCTAAAAAAGAAGTGAGGAACTCTGCACCTACCAGCTCCTCTTTCTTTAATTTCCTGGTAAGCTCCGCTCACCCTCTCTGTAGGTCGTCCTGCCCACCTCTCCTCTTTAGGATACGCAGGTGAGGTGTTCATTCCGTAGGACTCTCGAGCCTTCTCCATTAGAAACTTCCTGTCCGTCCAGTCAGAAAATCTATCTGGATCACATTCTATCAGGTCGTAGTCAGGTTCTCCGTTTATCATCCATCTGATAGACAATTTGCAAGGAGTGAGCTATAAGGTAGGTTATGGAACTGCTGGAGCAACGAGTGCCGAAGGCACGAGTTCCGACAATTGTTCCATAACTTACTTATGGTACGGCACATCTATCTATTATCTATTATCTAATGTATCTGGAATTTGACGTATTGAAATACCAATTTTGACTCTATATCCACAGTTATTCACCATGGATTTGTTTGTTCTTAAATAGTTTTTCATAAATTTTTGGATTTAGATTAATTCGATGTAATGGGTCCAAGTTACTGCGGACATAGTTCAGTATGTGTTTACCGTGTTTGGGTGCCCATCATATTTTACAGATGGGGGCGATATTTTGAACGATTCTATTTTATATTCATCTATTGCTGTACTCTGTAAAATTTGAAAAGTATTTAATAAAAAAATCAAGATAGATAAGGCTACAATTTGCGACAAAAAAACAAATTTGGACTTAATTAACAATTAAAAAAACACGTTTTTCTATTTTCTTCCGTAACGCTGACCAATCAGAGACGATCCACGTGGCCTATAGCATGATCATTCTTGCGTGTCACGTGAAAGATTTCCTCTATTTCATTGGATGCTTACTTGTGGGCACGTGTAAAACCGGTTTTTAGTTACTCAATAAGTTGTTTGTATACTCCAAACAACTTATTGAGTAACGCATTTTTTGGCAGATCTTTTAATTGAGTTTTGAGGTGAGATTGAGAGGATTAGCGTGCAAGGACCCGGTCCTATTCGATCTTTTTGTGCCAGGAATTTTCATTTATTTTGATGTCTCATCCATTACGTCTCGTGACTACGCTCCTGTGTCTGACTGACTTGACTGACTTAAGGCGGGTAGTATTCCCGAGATCCATTGACAACAGTTCTCCACAGCTTTCTGTCCTCCATCAGTCTAGCTATCTCATCTACTGATTTAGGTTATCTAGTAGTGTTAGGTAAGGTCGCCCCCTGTTAGTATGCCCATGACTCGGCTTCCAGAGGATCAGTTTGTTCAGTACCGACTCGACTAGTGCTGTGAACACTCTGGTCTTGATAGACTTTCTAAGGTTAGATTTCCAAAGTTTTTTGAGAGTGTGGCATGCTCCCCATGCTCTTCCTTTCCTAACCCTGATATCACTCTCACTGTCTCTGATTCTAGAACCAAGATAGGTAAAGTCTTCCACGTGCTCTATTGTGTTGTTACCCAGGGACTTGATGGTATCAGGGTTCTCGATGTTCTGAGTAATGAATTTGGTTTTCCCTTCGTTCATTTTAAGTCCCACTGTAGCAGCAACTCTTTCTACCTCTAGCATCAGCATCTCTGCCTCCTTTACAGTATCTGCTATCAGAGCAATGTCATCTGCAAAACCAGTGTCTGTTATCTTCTCCGCCTTGACTCTCCTACTCCGATAAGGCTTAATGGTAAATCCTATTTCAGGATGCTTGCTTAAGGCTTGTCTCATGCAATAGTCAAGGGCTACAATGAACAAGTATGGTGCTAATGTATCCCCTTGAAGAACTCCTGCCAGGATATCAAATAGCTCGGTATCCCCATCTGGTGTTATAAGTTTGCCCTTCGTGTTGACATAGAGAAGATTAATGATATCTACAATACTGTCCGGTATTCCATAGGCCTTTAGTATTTGCATCAAAATTCCCCGGTGAAGTGAATCAAAGGCCTTCTTAAAATTAACAAACACCATAGCTACCGGTAAATTTCTCTGTCTAGCCCCCTCTAGAATCCTTCTGAGTGCCAAGATGTGACTAGTAGTGGACCGTCCTTCCCGAAAACCATTCTGAGTGTCCCTAAGTACCCCCTCTATAGCCGGCTGGATCCTATTAAGCACCATTCTATTAAGAGTCTTAGCTACGAGAGAAGTCAAAGATATCCCCCTCCAGTTTCCAGGGTTGGTCAGGTCTCCCTTTTTGGGAACCGGGATGATGTTACTTATCCTCCACTGATCTGGCGCAATACCATCTGTCAGGGCTTTGTTGCAGAAGGACAGCACGATGTCATCCAGGTCGCATCTTTTGAGGACTTCAGGTGGTATGCCGTCATCACCTGGTGCTTTACCTTCTTTTATCCTGTGTTTAGCAGCTTTAAGCTCATCCACAGTAAAAGGTTCTGTACTGATGTTGAGTCCTTCAAATTGATTCTCGATCCTAGGATGCTCGTTTTCCACATCCGGTATACTCCCTAACAGATTCGTGAAATGTCCAAGCCAATTTTTCTTCCTTTCTTCGGCTCCGTTGCCCCTTATTTGAGTTGCCCCCTTGGCCTTCCTGCCAGTTATCTCATTTATGACATTCCAACTTTCTTTGTTTTTGCATCTGTCTGCAGCCATTTCGACCCTTCTAACCTTGGCAACTAGATCTTCTTCAAAGATGTCCTGGTACACCTGATCCAGTTCAGTTTTTAGTAGCTTAACAGACAGTCGACTGTCTTCACTAGGATCTCGGTGATAGACAGTCTCTGCTTGCTGCAAGGCTGTACGCACGCTTTGAACTCGCTGATCACCCGCGAAATCGTCACGTCTCTTCTTTTCTCTCTTAGGCAGTATGGCTTTGTTGGTATCAGCAATCGCATCAACAAAATGCCCATACAGTTCCGTAACCTCACTTTCATCGGTTTGCTCGCATAAAGCAGAGTACCGATTCTTGACTTCTACTGCATATCTCTTCTGTAGGTCTTCATCCGATTTAAGTTCTCCCCAATTATACCAGGTTTTCTTGGGTTGCTTTTTTGCTCGTCGAAGAGATAGCTTGATCTTAGACAAAACAAGTCTATGATCAGTACCCAGTGTACTAAAGAAGCTGTAGACTTCAGTATTTTTGACACTGTTCCTCCACTTCTTCCTCACTAGAATAAAGTCTAACTGAGACTTATTCAGGGTTCCATCCGATAGGTGAGTCCACATCTTCCTGTGTCTGGTCCTCTTAATAATGTCAGTTTCCGTTACACCTGCATAAAACAGTGTGTCGATGGTGCTTGTTCTTAAGAAATGATTAGTCGCCTTAATTATTAGGAGTGAAAAAAGCGCTTTATTTAAATCCGCTTTACCAGGTAGTTTTGATAAATAAAACTTGAATATATTTTCAAATTATTGTTGGTGATAATTTCCTGTTCAAATTTATGAAAGTAGTTCCTTTCCGATCTACTCTAATTTAAAACATTTAAAATGATACTTCATGCTTGACCCGTGCTGTTCTCTAGAACTATAAGGATGTGAATTGTGAATCTAATCTCACATAGATATTCAGAAAAACCGGTTTTACTCTGAGACGCTTGTGAATGGCCATTGCAGCAGAGTGCTGTGTCACGGGGGCATGTCTCGTGACTACGTCACTCGACTACCACGTGCTTGTGCCGTACCATAAGATATTCATATTATGTTTACCAGTTTTATTTTGCATTATGAGATTCAATTACATGCTAAGCTATCCTAACTGCCCAAAAGCAGGTAATGTAGCAAGGAATTTAGCGAGAAAACTGACCTAGCAAGGTATTTTCCAGCACCTCCAGAATGCACAATACCGAAGCAGCCAAATCCGACTGTTAGCCAGTAATTAGTTAGGTGGTGAGTTGGTCCCATCATCGGTAACATGTCGGGAGAGTATGTAATCGGTCCTGCTATCGCGTTCTGCGGAAGTATTTCTAGAAATTCCAGGTTTCTCTGAACTTAAGTTAGCGATAGCAATTATTCTGGGTATAATATTACCGGAAGATTTAATTTCTTAAAAGCGAAATTAAATGAGGGTTTTATTTACAACAGTCTATCACAATGCTGGCAAGCATTACCGTTGCCATTATATTCACAATACTATTTACCCCCTATACTATTATATCCCCTTTATTGTTTTTCAGGCATTAAGACTCATCGAAAGTAGTTCAGCAGGTATATTTAAGTTCAAAACATTCTAATTCAATGTTAAAGATGACAGGAATAAGAAATAGTTATGTGGAGGTTTTTAAGAAATTTGCGCAAAATACGGGCCAGCATGTTATACGAAATTAGGTAAAAAACCCAAAATCGCCATATTCAGGTGCCTTAAAAACCATGTTAAAAATGAGTTAGAGATCTGAAATTTTACAGGGCGTCTAGACGTTGACCAAATCTACTGTAAAAAAATCGGCTTACGAATTGTAATAAAGCTTATTGAATGGGAAAAGCGAGCGACCGATTTTATTCTCGGTATCAATTTGCATTTGCGGACGGTTCCTCAAATTAATATCATTTCCTTTTGTTTGGAAAAGAGAGACACCGGCAGCGGTTCACTCTACCCATGATTATGGGTTTTGGTCAAATTTCTATTTCTTGGATCTAAAATCCTAACCTAAATAAGTTAACTGCTAACCTGAATTTCAGTTTCCTGCATTATTGGCATCAGTTCCATACAATGTTCTATGCACCTATCAATACGATCCAAATCACTTTCGTATGCTTCTTTAGAGAAACCTCTAGGGATGCCGTTATCATACCAGTCCTCCTGAATCTTCATCTTATCTGGTGCCTCGTACGGTCCAATCAATAGTCCTGGTTTTGTTAACGTTGTCACAATGTTGTAGATGGAATACAGTAGAAACACAAATACAAGAATTTAATTAAGCGTCTTTAGTGAACCACAGCTATAATATTTCTGGTTGGCATTATCTGCAGCCAAAAATACAAAACCAACTCATTTTTTTAGCTTCAGGCTTCTTGGGGACTTAATTTATCAAACAATGTCACAACAGCACTTGTAGGTTTATAACCTACCAGGACGCGCGCCGAGTTGGACTCGTCGACGGTCCTAATATTTGGAACAAATATTTTACGAGTATCACCCGTTAAAACAGCACACATTACAATATTGTCCTTATAGTTATGACTAGCAACCTGTTCGTTCCTGTCTCACGTAGTAAGAACCTCTAAGATCCCGAATAGTTGGAATCTGACGACCGTTCTGGTTCTTCTGCCAGTCTTCCAATAAGGGAACACTTGCAGAAACCAGGTACCTGAGGTGTTGATTAATTGTTATAATTTGTGTTAATTTGTGTGATTAATTAGTGACCAATTAGTGTTATTGGTCACTAATATTAGGACAATGAGAAGCTAACATGCAATACTACAATTTTGAACTACCAATCACACTCATCAATTATAATTGATCAATTATAATTCAATTATAATTCAATTATAACATTTTGTCTTTAATGTCATAGATTTTAGCTCAATTTGAAAACCAATACGTACTGATGGTGTACAGGAGCAAGAGGTAGATTAAGCCCCGACATCTGCCCGATTTCTCTGGCGTGGAATCCGGCAGCGTTCACCAGTTGCTTTGTGTTTATTTTTCCAGAAGGTGTATCCACCTGTCCAAATTGTCGTCATTAATAGCACATAAAATAGCAGAGATGTGATACACAACAACACTCACTAAATTAATTTTGGAGTAATTGGAGTGGTTAACAAAGGTCAACAAAACCTTACCTCCCATGTTCCGTCAGCCCTCTGTTTAGTGCCAGTGACTATACAGTCTTGCACTAATGTTGCTCCATACATTCGGGCTCCTTTAGCATACGCCTGCATGAACGGTTGTTATAAGACCTTTCAGTTAGGGCGAATTTTTTAAAGGTAATAAAAATTTGATTTAGATGGTGTTGTTTTAGAAGGTATGACTATTATAGAACCCACCATAGTAAGACTATAAGGGTCGGTATGACCATCACCAGGGGTGTATAACCCCCCTTTAATTCCCTCCATGTTCAGAAAAGGATGCATCTGTTCTATAGTGTCGGGGTCAACTAGATGCTCGTTGGCTCGGTGCCACGTATGTCGGCTCATCATGTATCTGGACAGAAAGATGGTTCAGAGGTAATCATTACCATTATCAGTATCTGATGATTAGATGCATTTGTAATCGTGTCAAAGATTACTGCATAGGTTATAATATAAGAATTTCAGCCAAATTGTCGGAATTCAACAATCAATATCAAGTTATAAATTTTAATTCATTTGATTGCAAGAGAAGTATCTATAACTGCTACATAATAAATATTCTTACTTGAACTCGTTGAAATGTTCTTTTGTATGGGCCAAACGGAGTGAACCAGTGGCGTTAAATCCAATTTCCTGAAATTAACATTTTCGTCAACTTTAGGGATAAATTCAGCTCTAATGAGTAAAAAAGCAAAACTTCAAAATCCAAAAAATTTTAGATGGTGAAACTTATTTGAAATTCTTTCATCTATAGTTTATGATTTACCTGATCAGTTTCTGCTTCAATTGTTTCGAAAAGCTTAAGTGACTCGTAATGTAGGTTCCGCATGTTGATACCATGATTATAGTATGTTGTCAGACCAGCCTACAAGATTTTGTCCGAAATTACTTCGAAATAATAGTTGAAGAAAAAAATCAAAAATCTCGAATGTTTCAACAAAATCTCATACAGATGACGATACTTACTGCACTATATGTTGATCCAGCAGTGAGTTCAGTTTTCTCAAGAAGCACCACATTTTTCACTCCAAACTTTGCGAGATGATACGCCAAACTAGTACCAACACATCCTCCTCCAATTATTACAACCTCAGCGTTGTCCTTAGCATGTCTTGTTTCAACACTGAGAAATTGAGTCCGCAAATAATTCGGATGTTCATTGTTCATTGTTCAATAAGAAAGACTGGCATTACTTTGGAATCGTTAGTGCAGTATGACATGAGTGATAGGTTTCAATAGTCATACCTTTCGTGTTGCTCAAGGAATCCGTTTGGTTTTGAGGAGAGAGAGCGAGAATAATTATATGCCTTCTTTAGAAAATTATTTCTGTTACCGAACTTAAGCATTACTCTGTGTGCTTTCTGTAAGTGTAATGATTAAGCATGAGCTTCATTTGTATGATGATACTAGTGTAACCTGTGCCTTATGCCTACGGCCGGGACTTCACTTTCTCCCCCCCCCCCCTCTCTAATAAGCTTATAGTATTACATGACAGTGATTCTCGCGGCTAACCTAATTATGATTTATGTACCCACGCTGCATATTATATGCAGTAATGGGAGAGAGAGCGAGGAGGGAGAAAAAGTGAGCCATTTTATGTCACATTTGTGGTACAAAACCATTAATTAAACCACTTACCACCAACGGTTTTGTGGTAATTACGTTGTGTTCAGACTTCAGTGCGAGCTACATTTCAATGGGCTGTATCAGTATACTCGATTATGACGGAGACTTTTGATGCTATAACTCTATAAAAAACTGACTACCAAAAAATAGAAACCTACTAGCTTCATCCCTGTTCCCACGGGCTTTCTTAGTAACTGTATAAACAACACGCACAAATGAAAGGAGTACTCGTAAACATTGGCTGGCTTACAAACCAGTCCCCAAACAAACAAACAACAAGTACAAAGTAAATAAGTTGCTGGGCGGCGCTCAGTCTGTCATTCCGCCGCATCTTCAATCAGAACAGAAAATCCTGAGGTCCCCAGGCAAGTAATAATGCCGAGGTAGATTTACTAATACTGATAGTGACACTGCAGTTTAACTATAATTGAATTTATTCTGCTCCTTAGTGGAAACGAGATGATTTCAATTCAATTCTATTCCTAAAAGCCTAAACAAACAAATTCGCTGATTAGATCCTTAGTTTTTCTCCTGCAAACTTACAGAACTTCTGATATCCTTTTCCTGGTGCTAATAATAGTTCCAAATCTTACTTCTAAGACCTTATGGTACATTACTGGACCTCGCTCAGCCTGTCATTCCGCCGAATCTCTATTCGGTGGATATGATTATGAACATAAATATAATAGCCTGTACATACATGACATAGTATTTGCGGGAGGCCGACAAAGGGGGCCTCCGATTATCAGGGGTCAGATCATATCACCAATTAGTAACGTATAATTAGTGATGTGATCCATCAGTTATAGTGATGTGATCCATCACTAGAATTTAATCACTAGAATTTAATTGACCCAGATTTGCATGTTTAGGATGTCTTGACTACAAAGGAAAGAGGGGCAGACCTCGTTCAAATTTATTTCATTATGACGAAGAATATTATTGTGATTGTAAATAAAAGATTTAGTTAAGTAATTTCAACGATTTAGTGTACAAAGCTTATGATAGACGTTTATGGAGAAGCTATGGGTGAGTCGAGACTACTCGGCCACTCGATTTTATGATTTAAATCCTATTATCTTGTGTTTGCTGTATATACAGCAGGGTGTCATAATTATTGGCGCGTAGACAATTTTGCGTAAAATTTTAGCTTACCCAAGCTTTTAGAAACGATCATAACTTAACTTCTGAGGATCAGTTTCCTATGGAGTCTTGATCATTCGAGAGATAATCCTTCATACTACAGTTTAGTCTAAAAACGAAGTCCGAAAGAAGTTAAATTTCGTCGATAATCACGACGAAAGAGAAAAATTTGGATTATTGGACTTAAAGCCTTCGGCTGATTCCCCTGAAATCCGGGAAGAGTCCGCCCGACTATATTTTATTGCGTCAGTCAGAGGAGAAAGAGAGCTTTTATAAAATCTATAGTTTTCTATATGTTTCGCTATCGCCTGAAGAGCTGTGCACTTTAGTCTAAAGAATAATTTCAGAAAAAATTCACCGAAAAAAAATTACACATAAATTCCTTACTCCTTCGTAAATCTAACCAAGTATGGAATCGACCCTTTAAATAACGGCCTAAATTATGGGTTTTGAGGTACATCAACACAAAATTCTGAATTAAGAAAAAGTTCAGACGATTGTTTACAGACCGGTTTTTGAATTTTGTAATTTCGATATTCAGAAGTAAAGTTATGACCCGTCGAAAAATATTGATTTCATCATAAAATACACATAAAATTTCAAACACGCCAATAATTCTGACACCCTGCTGTAGTTGATTAATAAGAAATGGGCTAGATATAGGGTAGAGTTCACATGTCAATTCTGTAAATCATAGCTGTAAATTAAGAAGTAAACATGATCTGACTGCTCGACTCGTAGATCACATAAGGCACGGGAGCTCTTGCTAAAGGGGGGGGGGGGGGGTTCTCGTATCAAGTGATGTGAAACGTACGTGCCAAAGGCATGCGACGGGAGTGAGCCGGAAGAAGTGTCGGAAGAAGAACAGCGATTCGGCCCTCACATCTGCCTGCCGGTGCTGCAAGCACAAACTTCCTACGAAGTGTCCGTGTCTGTGCTATCAATCCATCTCAGACGATTTTCTCTAATTGAGTACTTCTATGCTAAACTGACTGCCAAATAAATAGAAAACTACTAGCTTCATGAGTTCATCCCTGTTACCACGGGCTTTCTAGTCTTCTATCTTACTTATAATTCAGAATCAGAGAATTATTTTTGTTTGTACGTACACTGTACGACCGCCCACGTGCAAATCAGACGAAAAATAGGAATTAAGGTAACAACCAGAAGGTTCCGTAGCAACGGTGTTTTAATGCACACATGCACGTGCAAAGATTGTTTTAACGTCATTTTGATCGGTTTTGTGGTAATTACGTTGTGTTTAAAGTGTTTTATAGGTATTTAAATCGGCTGTATCTTCGGTTGGGATGGATATTTTTTGATGCGATTAAAACTTTCTTTCAAAGAAGACCACTAGCTTCGTCCCTGTTACCACGGGCTTTCTAGTACTACTATAATTCAGAGAATTATTTTTGTTTGTACGACCGCCCACGTGCAAATAGATGAGAAATAGGTAGTTGCAAAGTAACCATGGTCCGGTAACGGTGTTGAAATGTGTACGTGCACGTGCAATGATCGTTTTAATCTTTTGATCGGTTTTGTGGTAATTACGTTGAGTTCAGACTTCAGTGCGAGCTACATTTCAATGGGCTGTATACTCGATTATGACGGAGACTTTTGATGCTATAACTCTATAAAAAACTGACTACCAAAAAAATAGAAACCTACTAGCTTCATACCTGTTCCCACGGGCTTTCTAGTAACTGTATAAACATTAAACAACACGCACAAATGAAAGGAGTACAAAGTAAATAAGTTGCTGGGCGGCGCTCAGTCTGTCATTCCGCCGCATCTTCAATAAGAACAGAAAATCCTGAGGTCCCCAGGCAAGTAATGAGGCCGAGGTAGATTTACTAATACTGATAGTGACACTGCAGTGTTAACTGTTACTTATATAATTGAATTTATTCTGCTCCTTTGTGGAAACGAAATGATTTCAATTCAATTATATTCTTAAAAGCCTAAACAAACAAATTCGCTGATTAGATCCTTAGTTTTTCTCCTGCAACCTTACAGAACTTCTGATATCCTTTTCCTGGTGCTAATAATAGTTCCAAATCTTACTTCTAAGACCTTATGGTACATTACTGGACCGCGCTCAGCCTGTCATTCCGCCGAATCTCTATTCGGTGGATATGATTATGAACATAAATATAATAGCCTGTATATACATGACATAGTATTTGCGGGAGGCCGACAAAGGGGGCCTCCGATTATCAGGGGTCAGATCATATCACCAATTAGTGACGTATAATTAGTGATGTGATCCATCAGTAGAATTTAATTGACCCAGAAATGGGCTAGATATAGGGTAGAGTTCACATGTCAATTCTGTAAATCATAGCTGTACATTAAAAAGTAAACATGATCTGACTGCTCGACTCGTAGATCACATAAGGCACGGGAGCTCTTGCTAAAGGGGGGGGGGGGGGGGGGGGGGGGGGGGGGTTCTCGTATCAAGGGATGTGAAACGTACGTGCCAAAGGCATGCAACGGGAGTGAGCCGATCAAGTGTTCTTAGGTATATATACTTGAAGATGTAAGACAATAGTTAATATCGCATTCTTACATTCTATCCTACCTTCTCCAAATTCATCTCTGGTCGGACAGGATCTCAACAGCTACTTGGCTGATCTGACAGATACATTTACTGTCGGAAGAAGAACAGCGATTCGGCCCTCACATCTGCATGGCGATTGGCGGTGCTGCAAGCACAAACTTCCTACGAAGTGTCCGTGTCTGTGCTATCTATCCCTCTCAGACGATTCTCTCTAATTGAGTACGAAAACTCACAACCACGAAGCAGACCTTGCAGCCCGTGAACGAAGAGAAGTCCTAACATCCCTGAAAATGAAAGCTGCAGATCAACCTCTTTCGGCGACCTTGGGTCAGTCATTGTGGACAGTGAGGTGAGGCTTCTCCCTGCATATCCCTTAGGATTCTGGAACCATTTCGCCAGAATCATTCGGGATCCGGAGTTCCCTTGAACCTCGAACATGGTTGAGGGCTTTCACAGAGGATTTAAATCCCGAGTGCATCGCCCAAAGCCCTCTGATCTGTTCAAGAGTATGTGCGAGCTATCAGAGAGCAGCAAGTCATTACTGACTTTCACATCGACAGGTTGAGTGTTGGCACCCGCTACGAGGCGAAGGAATTGCCATACCCAACTCCACGATATCTGTTCATTTTACTCCACATACTCTAGCAAGATTGAGTAGCTCTTGCTTAAATTTTAAATTTCATGTCGTCGAGTAATCTTCTCAATTCTATAATTAAAGAATAATGTTTTACCCTAACTATGAAGTGGTGACATCTCATACTTAACTAAAATTTAACTTTGAAAGTTAATAGATTATTAGTGACAACAAAATTATAGTTTAAGACATCAATTCTGTGCAGTGTTTTCAATATTAGAATTTATGATATGTTTCATTGAATAACTGGTAATAAATTTAACTTTTGTTTTATTAATTGACAATTACAATAAGTTGATAAGCTAGGAAATCTCAAGTGCGAACAAAATTAAACGACTAAGTAAAAATATAAAATCACCAATGGATTACTTTGACAAAAATAAAACATTCCCATTAATTCAAAACGTCGGAAATATAAAAAGTAATAATATTAAAATTTTTTGGGGCTGTCCACTGTCATTCCACCATATCTTCAATTGCGATTATAAACACAAAAGTCTGAGGTCCGGCAGGGAAGAGACATCTTGATTCTTATTCATTATTTCAGGGAAATAATAATCCCTGCGCAAGGGTGTCGTATAAGGTATTTATCATTAACGACATCACAATTTCTTAGCACAATCTCGTAAACATGTTTTCTAGCCTCCTCGCTTAAATCCTGGTACTCAGCTTGCAAGAAGAAGGAGATAAGCTCATCGTTTCTCGACCCATTCACATCTCGAACAAACTCATCCACGCAGATATGAGTGATTTCCTCCTGGACAGTAACTATCAATTCTGGGTGCTCTACTTGGATGAAAGAGGTTATTTGTGAGGCTGTGAGTGTGTGATTTGATAGGGTTAGACTAGTGTTAAAGATGTTTGGATCACTTCAGTTTATCATGTAGATGTACATCTCAGAACTTGCAGTGTCTCCTTGGTGGAATATGAGGATTTTACCACGAGGATTCAGAAACTTGGTTGCGTGGGAAACTGTCCCAAATGGGTCCTCAAATGAATACAAGGAGTGTGATAGCAGTATGAGGTCGAATAGAGGACTCTCAGTCTTATATTTCAACTCAAACTCTTTGTTAAAGAATGATGTGTCGATATCATACTTGGCACCAATACTTTTCAGTTCAGTCTCCAACAGCGGAACATGGGCAGCATTCGGCTCGATAGCATAGATATACCCCAACTTCAGCCCCAGTTCCCGGACCAACATCGCCTCAAAGTTCCCTCTCCCAGCTCCAATGGTTAACATCCGTGCCGGCTCCTTGTCGAAGTTGTTCTCTAGAATGACCTTCTTGGAGATGCTAGCCATAAGATCATATTCAGTGGTGTTAGCTGACAGCCTGGCGAATGTCCTCGCATATCCCTCAGTAGTGAGGGGAGCAGCAGTTTCTCTACCCGTCATTATTGGAACTGCAAGTTGTTTAGTTAGATGGTGAGTAAGGATCAAAAGTACAACGATTCAGTTTAATTTGTAATTTCACCTGCAAGGGACCCTTTTAGAATCAGAATTAGAATTAAATTTATACAACAATACAATAAGAATAAAATTAATTTAAAGAAGCTTGAAACTGCTGTGCAGGACATTAAAGTCAGTCAGAAACTGTTAGAAGAATACCCTTCTAAGGACATCAAAACATATAGTATGTAACAAGGTAAAGATTATGTGCTGTTATCCGATGGATAGCAGCACACATCGGATTGTGGGGAAACGAAAAAGCGGATGATCTGGCCAAGCTTTTTAGAACCAGTGAATCCACTTTGAAATGCCATATTCCACAATCTCACATCAAACGCCTTATCAACGACAAAGTCACCAGACTGAATCAGGAATCTTGGTTAACTGACGGTCCCAGACACACCAAACTAACACTCGGTCACAAACACGCCAAAATCATCAAAAACCTAAACACTACACTCAGCAACAACAGAAAAAATTACAGAACTGCAGTTCACCTTATCACGGGACACTGCGGCTTAAACAAACACCTTCATACCATTCGCAAATCAAACACTAGTGCTTGTCCTATGTGCGGCGACGAAGAGGAATCTGTCCCACACTTTCTGGGACAGTGTCCGGCTATAATTGCTCAAATAAGAGGGCAATATTTCCAGGACTATTACCTCTCTGTCAACGACATATTCGACAATCAACACATCACCACCATTGTCAATTTCGCAAACCGCACCAAACGCTTAAGTGTGCCAGAGGAGCTGGATCAGACCGGGGTGACGTAGATTATAGCTCATGCGCTGCCTCGACTCATCTTACTGTTCCAGGCCCAGCTAACACAATTATAAGCGTACCACCATGATTCACGTCAATTTTATCACCATCCCCCACCATTCACTCTGATTTCCCCGGCAACCCTTCCCAGGGTTGCTACACCCCAGAGGTAGGCAGAGCATTTCAATGCTATACTCTCGTGGGCCATCTTGGCCCAGCCTCTCTTAAAAAACAGAAAGAAAAAAAAGGTCAAGATTAGTTTGAAATGGTCGCCTATTATGGCATATAGTATGTAACAAGGTCAAGATTAGTTTGAAATGGTCGCCTATTATGGCATATAGTATGTAACAAGGTCAAGATTAGTTTGAAATGGTCGCCTATTATGACATATTATAGTCATAACCTATGGCGTTTTTGATGGTCGACACGTCCTTCTTTGTCTGCACTCTGCTTGTCTCATAGAATCCAAAAAAGGACAGTACATGGTCAATGATAATCTTATCTCTCGTGTTCTTGGCAATCTGGACAATGGTCGACATTGTGAATGCTGATCAATCCCTCAACATGGTTAACCGTTGTCTCACTTGTTGCTTGTTAAAATTCACGAAACCAAATAGGCGGACAATAGAATCTGTCTAAATTCTGCTAAATTGTGTTAAAGGGATTATGAAGTGTCCCCGACTTAATCGTCAAAACATTTCACATATTCTATCACATAGAAACACTAATATAAGAATAGGGCCCGGAATTCCCATATTCGTAACTTAATACAGGAAGATCGCTCTAATTTGTTCGCGAGAGGCTGATTGTCAGACACCGCAATATAAACAGTGTTAAAATGCACATTTTTATTCATGTGCTTTGGCGCCAATTTAATTGATAAAATCTTCAAATGAACGACATTTAATTGATTTGACTTTTGTTTTTCGACCATTGTGGCTGTACTATGTCCAAAATATACACAAGCATCAAATAACTGTCTTAAAAGTTTACGTACTGTTGTGTAATGTTGTAGGAAAGAAAACATTGGATTATAAAAATGCTTAATTAATAACAATACACGTTAGTAAGAACCTATTACCTAAACTAACCTTAAAATATAAATATTTTTTCTTGATACAAACAATGACTTGTTTAGTTCATGGCAAGATATGTCCATCATCAGTTCTGATTCAGATAAAACCTGTGTATCTTGATCAATCTGTTTGGAAATGTTTCCCGGATCGCCGACACAACACATGATGGGAGTACGTATCGAACCTTTCTATCCAAATCTTGGGAGCTTATCAAATTCACAAATTATTTGTAGGCTAAATATCTCCACTTTTTTGGTGTCATATGTGCTTTTAGATAGTCTTCCCGTTTCACAGAATCATTGATGGTGAAACTAAACAGGTATCTTGAATATCTAAGTCCTTGTTCAGATAAGACCATATTTTTTATTTTATTTGAAAATTCAATTAATTATTATATATAAATCAAGCGTTACATTTCAGCCATGCAAAATTACAATGACATATTTTGATAAACTAATAGATAAATGGAACTGCAATATAAGTTGCTTAATGTTTGGCCGGATGACAACTAACTGAAAGAGAAACATAAACTTGATTACATAATAATTAATTCGGCTGAACCAACACATAGCAAGAGCCACATTAACGTTGCACGTTGGGGCCGTCAAATGCTGAAACATCTCTTTTTCTGTGACACATTTCAGCGAACCCCTGTGACGATGTATAGTCAAGGAATCACTGCAACAAACCAACTCTCTCTCAGTACTCATCATTTTGCACTAATTACAAGTACACCATTCGTTAACCGATTTCGACAATCTGTCTTGCGTAATGTTTGCAAAAAATGCGCTATCTATCATTTCATATTCTTCACCGTCACTATTGTAAATAGGAGGGTAACCATGTCGGATCCAGGATATATATCTGGCTCAAAATGACTAATGTCGTCTAAGTCGCACGGCTTGTTAAAATCTGCGTGATCATCATGAATTTCTCGGCTGACAAATATAGACAAATCTCGCCTGTGTTGGGGTCGGTGTTGGGGATGCATGTGTCATTCAACCTCATGCGAGAACTTGTGACATTCCCTGCACCTGTTTTTTTCGTAGTGCTCCTAGTCTTTCTTTTGGTAGTCACTGTCGCTGAAGTGGTCGCTGCAGACTCTATAGGTTTTTAACCTCCTAAGTCCTAATGTCATGGTCAACCTCTTTTATCCCATGCTTTCCGACTTTTTGCATCTCTTGGGACGGTATGAAAGACCAGAAAGCTACTCCTGCTACTGGTGTCTCTTCCCTGACGGTTGTTACAACCTCCGACTGCACAATGATTTTTTTTTAGAATAATAAAATTATTCAAACAATATACACATAATATAGCAATGACCCTATATAAAATCAACCCTTAAAGAATTCAAAAAATTCCCTTAACAATCAAAAATTACCCTTGGCCTTGTGGCTCCAAGTTAAGATCTAGACTGTTTATATCAACAATGTTTTTTCTTGCACCGCTGTCTCCACGGAGAGAAATCACTGTTGTTCTAAGGATTTCAAAGCGAAGGCGCTTTCTGATGTATCCTACAGCGTCTGAGTACCTCTGGCCAGTGTGGTACTCCATCTTACTGGCCAGCTTCTTGACCAGTCTCTCAGCTTCACCACCCATTCCACCAGAAGTCGAGAACACTAAAGGTGTGAAGCTTCCTTTCTCCACTTCAAGAACCCTTGCATTGTAACATCGCTTTTTCTCATTTTCATGGGAAAGGTACATTGCTGGTATCGATTTGCTTGCATTGGAGGGGGCTGGGGCATGAAATACCCTTACATCAAAAAATGCCCTCTCTGAAGCATTCCAAATCGATCTTGCAGAAATGTCCAGCCTGGCTTGGTCTCCTAGGACTGTTCCCCTTGGTAATTCTAGACCATCAACTGGTAGAAGAACTGGCTCCGTCTGCACATCCTTGCATTTCACAGTTCTCATTAGTTCTGCAAAGGTGTCTCTCAGCGAGTTGTGCCGCAGTGACACATATCCACCAAGTTTGCAGATGAGCGCATGGTTTGCTGAGTATTTCTGGCCACACGTACATGTCTTAGGGCAGTCCTTTAAGTTCAGGTTGTATCTGAGAGCTATTGCATCTGAGAACTGTTGTTTATTCATCAGATATCCATACTCTTTTAAAGGTAGTGCTGTTAGCCAAGCACTTGCCCCTTTCTCAGCCGCTAGTTGGAACATCAACTTTGCCAGTGGTGTTGACTCGAGCTCCTGGCGTATTTCTGCTTGTTTTTGTTGATAGAAGAGATTTCGTTCAGTCGTTATCTCAGTTTTCACTCCTTTACTGTGTCTCCAGTCCTCTGTGTAGTTGTCTATCTGCTTGAGAATAGCTTCTTTAAGGGGTTTTGTGGCTCTACATGAGAAATTGTACTCTCGGTCTGCCATTTCCATCATAACTGGTATACCCAATCCTCCATATCTTGGTGGTAGAGCCATTATGTTCCTTAGTTCATCAGTGCAGCTAAACAGCCTATTAATGATAGCTGGGATAAACTCATCACGTGTTACTTGTTCTAGAGGAGTGAGCCTATCTGCAACTCCTGGGGTAGTTCTGCACACATAGTTCCATCTTTTACTAAGCCCATACATGTATGCACTGTATGCTATTTGAGGTTCTCTTGATGCTATATCACTTAACTGTTTAAGATCACGACACCATTCTTGAACTTTTTCCTCAATGAAAGCCTCTTTTCCTTGGTCTGTTCCGATGAAGCTGCCCAGATATCGACGACCAATGCTTGTCACATTGACATCTGGGAATAGGGTTCTTGCCTTCTCTTCGTGCTCAGGCTTGACTATCACCCATGTTTTAGAAGATTTAGGGTTGTATCCAAAGAGTGGTCCTTTAATACAGAGGTTATCCCACCACTTCCTTATTTCCTCCAGTTTTCCCCCAGCAGCAGAGTCATCAGCATACCAGATCTGAGTCACATTTCTCTCAATGTTTCCTGCATCAATCAATGGTATTGTACCACAGGCATAAAATCCCACTGCACAATGATTTACTATCAACCGCCTTTTGATAAAATTTAAATAGTAAAGATTTGTTGCAGTGATAAGGGAATGAAGCTAAACTAATATATTTAGTCATGTCATAATTGAGCTTGAGCTATTACTATACTTTAAAAACACGTGCCGTCGACAACAAACGCGGAAATTTGTAACAGGTCTGACTTATTAATTGGAAGATAAGACTGTTTATCTATCATGGGGTACGGATACATATGTAAGGTTCGTGTCTACACATAAAACGTTATTCAAGAAAGCACACGTTCGCAAGCGTTAGAATACAAAGACAGAACGAAAGTAAACAAATTGAACACTGATCGTTTTACATTCAGATTCCGTGAAGTGAGCTGTCTTTAATTGCTTGTAGGAACTAGATTAATCACTGTACACCAAATTTTAGGAAGATATGTGAAATATAATGGTTTATACCCGATGGTAATCTTGTCGTTTTAAAAAAATATAAATAACAGAAAATTTGTTCTGGACGATTAAAATCAGGTGATTTTACACATGACGTATATGCTATTCTGCCTCCTAGCCTCTAACTGGAAAAATGTAATTCATAATTGATATGCCCCGTATTATCTCCGCTTGTGGAGCTATTTTGGGAGTGCGCCTAGTTAAATAACTGAAGTGAGATATTTAGACCTCTTAAAGTGAAAATAATCAAGATACAGTGGTTAACTGATAAACCATTAACAGCCTGAAAACTGAAAAATGTGCCTCTTTTGAAAGACGAAGTCATGACGTACTTACATATAGAGATATAGGAACGTGGGTATAAAGGTACTTGGGTTCGAGAAAAAAAAAAACAAAAAAAAACACAGGGAGCGGTTGTGTGCTTGATAGGGCTATTGGCAACCACAATTCAGCGGGAGCAACTGGAGGAGAAGGGTAACTTGATCATGATACGATATCACATACCTGGATATGTGGGTTTGAGATTATAAGCGGGATAATTTGATTACGATACGATTTGTTCAATCAAACACACACGAAGACAATTGAGGAACCTGGGATAAACATTATTTAGGGAAGGTATTCATTACCGCTCCTACTAAATCTCTCGCCCAAATTTTAATAAAATTTTTGTATGAAGGCCCTGGAAGTATGAAAGTAATCTAATTCGGTATATTTTTGGCGAACCTCATTTTACCTCATTTTACCTCATTCAATGAGGCAAATTAATCTAGTTTTTTAAGTCCTTTTTAGAAGAAAACTTAAAGTCTCTTGGACTTTTAGGGACTGGGATAAAATTTGCCGAGATTTGCCTCATTTTACCTCATTCGGACAGCCGAAAAGGCAAAATTGGGATGAGGTTAAATGAGGCAATTTGCATTCATTTTACCTCATTCGGGCAGCCAAAAAAGGCAAAATTGGGATGAGGTTAAATGAGGCAATTTGCATTCATTTTACCTCATTCGGGCAGCCAAAAAAGGCAAAATTGGGATGAGGTTGACCCCCCCCCCCCCCCAATAAATGATTCGCTGAAGTGTTGTCTCATCTTCCCTGAAGGCGAATGTTAAAAAATGGAGTAGTAGTATGAGGGATAGCTGAGCCCCGATTTAATTTATGAATTTCCACTGATAATGACGAGTTCAAAATCTGGCATCTTCTGAATTTAATAGGAAAATCTCAGATTTACAGAGTTAAAATTTTACAAAACACTGCTTCGACAATGATAACGGAATTGAAAGTTCTTTTTGGTAAAAGTGACATAAAGGAAAATCATCACTATTTACAGATAACAATAGATATTACAATAATTTCCCCCTTTCCTTACTGACATGAACATGTTATCAGCTCGGCCGGCAATTAGCATCCGGCTTAAGCCCAAATCCGGCTGAGCTAATTACATGTTCATGTTAGTAACAACTAACAACCCACAATTTGTACTAAAAATGTTCCACTAAAAGAGTGGGGCAAGTCCACCTTGCCCTATTCAATGTGAGTTCCTGCTGTTTCCTTTCCCAGTTCACACAGACAAATACTGACGGCAACAGCCGCGGTTTGATTCGATGCTAGCACAAGTCTCGGGTTGAGATTAAAGATAAACTGAGAACATGCAATACCAGCACATGCACCTATTCTGTTAAAAACTAACCCAAATGAAACTACAAAAGATCTCACTTCAGTTGGGAAATACTCAGCCCCCAGTATAAATGGGCTTAGTCCAAACTGGGCTGCACGGAATTTCGCTATTGTGAAAAACGCAAATGAGTAGTTGTCGCTTACAC